CGGCAGGGAACACTGGGCGTGGATGGTCGTGGTTGAGGTCCGGCAGGAACACTGGGCGTGGATGGTCGTGGTCGAGGTCCGGCGAGGAGGAGAAGAAGGAGGAGGAGGAGGAGGATTAGGAGAAGGAGAAGTCAGCTAACATAAAATCTAACAACCCTCACCTGGCAGGTGGGGAACAATTAAACAACAAACAAACGAACAAACAAACAAACATACATACATACAAGCAAACCAACATTCAAACAAACATACATACAAGCATACCAAACAAGAAGACAAACCAACAAATCAAGCAAACAAACAAGCAAACAAACAACTGAACAAAGCAAGACACCACAAAGCAAAACAAAACACTCAATCGAACCAAACAATCACTGAACAAAACAAAATCAGACAGACAAACAAACACACAGCAACACAAACAAACAGACAGAGACAGAGACAGAGACAGACAAACAGACAGACACACAACACCACAACAACAACAACAAGGTACAAACAAAAAGCTGCAGCAAGACGGTTGTGTTTGACACCCCTCCAAACCAACAAACCAGTTCTGGTACTACTACTACTACTACTACCACCACCACTACTACTACTACCACCACCACCACTACCGCTACCGCTACCCCTACCACTACCACTACGACTACTACTACTACTACCACCACCACTACTACTACTCGTCGTACTCGTACTCGTACTCGCACTGCCTTGTTGTTTTGAGGGGGCGTCAAACACCAACGGCGGGGCTGCAGTTTTTTGGTTTCTGGGAGGGGGTAGAGACAACGCAAGATGTGTTCTGACGGGGCTGCAGTTTTTGTTTGTAAATTGTTATTTTGGGCTCTATTCCTTGCGTACTCCAAGGAGCCGCGGCGGTCGGCGTGGGGCACGGAAGAACTGAGACCGGCCCAGCAGCCCAAGCGGATGAAAAAAACATAGCTGACAACATCAAGGAAGAATCGAACATGTATAAATATCAGGACCCTCCTGTCGGGGTGTCCTGGCTGAACTACCCCACACTACCTATAGGCTTCCATTGGGCACCCCTTGGAGGGTCCTGGTATATGCTAAAATGTATAAATAGAAACATGTAAGCACTGTATGTAGATCCTTTTGTGGTAAGGTGCAGGGATTGCGCGACGGCTGCGTGAGTGTGCGCTCATAGTGTTGTGACCATTGTGTGTCCAAGGTTGAACTCAGAAGATCAGTTGATCGTGATTCGTGATGTCCAGTCCGCATGTGACCCTGCTGCCATTTTTGATGGATAAGTTCAACACTTGGCACTGATACAATTATGAATATATGTGTGTAGCAACATTTGTTTCAATCTTTTATATGTTGATATTTTTACTGAGCTGTTTGTTAGCAGTGGACAGTAGCAACGATGAAAGACGCAACGGGCCAGTTTTAAGTCAAACAGGATGAAACCAGTGACTCATGCACGATGGCTGTGAGATATTTTACATTGTTGTTTAAATGTTGGATTAGTACGCATGTATGTATATGTGTATATATACAGTATATATAGAGAATTATCTATATACATATATACATACATTCTGGCCACAACGACCCACAACAAATGGAACACACAGAGATAGTCAAAACCCACCGGTCCCAGTTGTTTGCTGTTTGGATCAAACACCTTAAAGCATCAATCGAGAATCGTTGCTGCAATTTGAATTTCCTTTTCCCATGCACCTTGGTGGCCTGAATTCTTCAATTTTGCCATCGAAGAATCATGTCGTCGCAAATGGGTGTGGCGGAATGCCTCACGCAGCTTCCTGCTGTGGCCTCAGTCCCTCAGTTCTTAGTTTTCCCTGATGTTAAAATATGTTTAAAAGAAAAGGTTTTCTTTGGGTTGTCCTGGTTTCCTCACCAATCTCTAGCTGGAAGACTTATTGCCAATGTGTTGGCCAACAAATTGCCCGGCGTTGTGTTTGCTTGGACCTTCAGCTCATCGACTTGATGGTTGTCGGTCGACGAGATGGACTTGAGACGAGATGGACAATGCAATGGAAAAAACTCCAGGCTGGGACCTAGGAGAAGAATGGATGAAACACCAAATGCTTCCAGCAGGACCTGAGCCGTACGTGACCTCTTTGGAGTCTCTAAGTGACCTCTTCGGGGACTAAGTGGCAGCTTCTTCAAAGTAAGGTAGTTGTGGGATGGTGACGTCAGGGGACGTAATTACTGACCGAATTACTGTTTTGGTGCAGGAGAAGGATCACCTCAAGCAACCATCAGTCTGAAGATCGGATGTGCATCGTTTCTCCGGTCTGATTGGTTTGGCATCGAAACTCCAAGCATCCTTCTGGCAGCCATTGACCCAAACAGCTTTGCTTGGTCTGCTTGGTGAGTTCGTTCCTGGCTGAGCATTTGAATTTCAAGACGATTCATCCCTTCCTTAGGAGTCTTTGAGGTCGGATTTCCCTCCGTTTTGAGGGCGTTGACGTGGTGATCGATCGCTTGGCCCGAGGCGGACGCGCTGGGAAAGCCGGTGTTGCAAACACATAGCTTCTCGGCTGTGAAGAGCTTCGCGGTGGGCCACCAGAATGACTTCTCTGACTATAATAGCTTCTCTTCTATATATATATATATGACCAAACACATAGCTTCTCTTCTGAATCTATGTTGACTTCTCAATATAAGAGCGGTGGGCCACCATCATCTAGCTGGTGCCCAGGAGGGGAGCGAGGGAATCCATATTTCCTCATTCAACAGGAAGACGTTCGCAGCTACAGGGAGTTCCCCAACCTTTTGCTAGTATTTGATCATGGTGGGGGACGTACCTAAAGCAAGAATCAAGAAGTAGTGTATGTTCATGTATGTTTGTTTGTATTGTTTGCTTAGTACTTGGAGATGTGAGCTGTCAGAGTTTTGAAGGAGGCATTGGTTGGCACAAGAGTGAAAGAAAAATCAAGAGCCACCGCCCGCAGACATGTGAAAGCACTTGTTCTGCTCAGAAGAGGCTCAGATGCTTGTAGATGCTTGTAGTACGTCCATGTACATCCAGCATCTTTGATCGGGTCAGCCAGCCCAACAAGAAAAACGCATGCCTCCATCGGGCAGGTTCCACGCCTTTCACGGGCTTTGCGCTTGTGTCTCGAGCCGTCCAAAAGCACTACGGCGAGAGAGACCCGACTGAGGCCGGATGTGGGTGGACGATATCCAGGCCGAATGCAAGATCTTGGTGTGCAGACCCAGCGTTCGGAGGACGGGAATGGTCCGGTCCGCCATAGTAAACAATGATGGACAGTTTTATGTAATGTATATGTAGTATATTGTATTATAGTTATAATATATATATATATACAGATATTCTCCCTGGATTCTAACCACCATGGTTTTATTACGGGTTAAAAGACTACAAGACCAGGACAACCATTTTCTCAATGGTCGAACAGAAGGCTAGGACGGTCCAAAACGGAGACTCAGGTGTTAGTCGATTCAGTTCTCTTTTTGGTCAGTTGGGCTTGGATACAGCTTTTGGTGGAATTTCTAGTGCTCAAAAGAACAAAGGGCATTCTCCAAAGGGCTCCCAAAGGTTCAGTTAACATCACTTAACATAATATCTCCTCTTAAAAAGGTGCCTCCCTGCTGGGACTAAAAGAGAGACCTTAGCTATAATGAACTAGATAATATGTAATACATAGTACCTGCAGTAGGCAGCATGGTTTTTCTCCACTTCACTACGCTCACCTTCAGGACCCCCCGGGGTCGAACTGACGCGCAGCGAGCGCCTGAGCTGAGGCCTATAGCACTCCAGATCCCAAGGTGGAGATCATCGCAGTGCCTAAGAGCGACGGTGTCGTCGGTGTCGGAGCCGGTGTCGATGTGTTGAGGTGATGTGTTGGGGCGTTTCCTTTTGGGCAAGAAGTGACCCCTGAACGTCTCAGTTGGGCTCAAACTAGTCATTTTTCAGTGCAAGGAGTTGTTTCCCACCCAGGCTGTGTCTCTCCCTGTTCGGACGCGTTCCTTCCGCCTCCTGACCACCACGCGTTGTGGCTTTGGGCTCCGGGTTCTTCGGGCCCTAGGGCTCTTGGCTCCTGTTTGGTTCGGGACGCAGAATATGGCAGCATGTCAGAGCACAGAGCACCTGTTGGACTTTTGCGGAGTAAATTGCCCGAAGATATATCAGAACAGGTGTCAGAATACGTGACAGAACACGTGTCAGAACAAATGTCGGCACATGGTATGTCAGAACACATGTCAGAAAGAATGGTATATAGACTCAGTGACAAAACACGTGTCACAGAACATGATAGAACACATATCAGAACAGAAGCCGGACCATATGTTACAACACATTTCAGTACACATGCCAGATTCAATGCGAGAACGCATGTCAGAAGTGCATGCAAGAAGGTGTGTCAGAACACATGTCAGACTTGACGGCAGCACACATGTCAGAACACATGCCAAAAGGATGGCTGGACACCATTTGATTCCACGATTTATCCGAGCCTTGATGCTTGATGATGCGTCTAACCCATAGCAGACTTGATGTCCGAACAAGTGTCAGAACATGGTGTCAGTGCAAATGTCAGGCAGCGTTTGTCAGGATAGCTTGTCAATACATTCGCCCTGCCTTCTTCCAAATCATGTTTCAGGGTGGGCATCAATCGAAGTAGTTTTGCCCTGCGAAATGTGGCTAAGAGCACATGTTAAGCTTGCTGTGTTTCTTGTTGATTCTGCTCCATCGGGTGCTGCAGACTAGCTGTTCATGCAAGGTGTCAACTTGAAGGGTTCACTAAGCTACCCCCAAAGCAGCCCCCAGAAGAAGCGTTTATATAAATTTGTCTTCGTCAAAAGTAGCCCGAGGTTTTGCCAAGGACCTTGGCGTCAAATTCCTGGCCCAATTGGCAGGAACAAACAATGCCTTCTTCAGCCCAAGAGTCCAAAAACACTTGAATGCAGTCGACGCACAGTTTGACAGACCCATCATCACAGCTGTCCGACCGGGGCTAAACTGTAGAAACAGCTCCTGATATTTCGGACAGTGGACCAATCAATCACAAAAGTTCTGTAGTGGACACCCATTGCTGCAGTGGGGGACCCATAACCAGGTTCCATTACCATCACAGGGGTCGATATTGATCGTATTGAGGCCTGTGAACCACTTTAATGGAAGTCCATGTGTCACCCATGTGCATTGATTCATATTGATTCAATAAAGTCACCATGTTAATTTGGTACGTTTGCCTTTTTGATCGTGTCCGTGTGTTCAGTCCCAGACCTAGATGTTCAGCGTTGTTCAAACAAAAACCCACCGGTTTTGTTTGGTTTCTCAAACACACCCAAGTGTTGCCATTTGCCTAAGGTGGTGAAAGGGGATATCGCTGGTCAGGAGGTCCGCCGACTGTGCGGGATGGGACTGTACCGAACTGCCTGGGGTCGGATCTCTCACTGGGGCCCGTATTCCTGGAATGATTCCTGCTATCTCACACTGTTTTGGGGAAGGCAATAAATTTTAATCCAAGATGTGTTCTGTGCATTGCAGGTTATCAAGATGTGTTCTTGAAATTATTCCTAAGAGGTTTTCCTTTGGACACGTGCAATCATATGCAGATAATTATACCATATATATATACTATTTGCTCTTTTTCGATTGGAACAACATACCAACCTTGACTGGTGTTTTTTGGACAGCGAGCTGACATCCAGTTACCACCACAGCTGATAACCAGTCAGTGGTTCCAAAGACCGAAACTACAGACCTAAAAGTCATGGTCCTTACATAGTGGTAACTGGAAGCCCCTGGCGGGGATATGTTCTTTGTCCTTCGCACTCCTGTGGAATTTGTCCTTTGTCTGTGGCCGAGCGGATGTCTTTGATCTCGACTTGAATCATTCCAAGGATTCGCATCATTAGATCCGTGGCACTTCTATGTCAATGTCA